GTCAGTCAAATACTATGTGTTATCTAGACCATGATAAAGTATCCAGCTTATTAAATTTGTATTTCTGATTGATGGCTTTAAAGATTATTATATAACACATAAAATATTATTTTACTTTAACTTCCAACAAACTGTAGGATAACAAACATTATTTTTCTTTTGTTCGTAATGCCAACTAAAACACACTGAAGTCATTCAGACCGGATGAGTGAGAAAAGGTATACGAGTCAGCTGCGAGGTCGACAAACAAAATTCAGAACATTTTTACATACATCAGTCTCACATCATTTAATATAGTATAGTTACTGGTTTTAAATATTATATGAGGCTTCTTAATGTTTTAATAGTGCCCCAACAGCTTCACCTTAGATATGATGCTTATCTGTAACAGCTTTTATTAATTAACATTTATTATTCTCCCTGGAGAATCAGCAACAAAAAAATACTTCAAAATTTATTTTTAACTGAGCTGCATATAGAAATAAACTCTTGATTCCCCCTTTTTCTGTTTGAAAATAATTTTTTCAAAATGTTTGTAATATTTATAATAGGATATAACACAGTGAAGCTTTTTGAAGTTATTTTCCAAATTCAATAGCACTTGAATATTATATCTGGAAAAACAACCAGGCACAGAGTTGATTTGCTTATTTTTGTTTTAATATAGTTTGATTTGATTTAGGAGCATAGTAGAAAAACTTTTAGATTCACCAGAGTTATATAAGGGTCAATAAATCCAGAGCTACACCTTTCTTTGTGAATGCTCCAAATACCGAGGCTTTGGATCATTTAGTCTTTACAGAATTAACCGATTTGAGAACCTTGATATTCTCCTAAAATTAATCCAAGAGAAACAACTGACATAATAATATTCCCTTAGTGCTTCACTATAGTCTAAGTACTGTACTGCGCTCAGCACTTCTCGTTCAGTGTTTCATAGATTTCTTACTACCTTAAGAGCTACATACCACTGCTATCACCATTTCAGAGAGGAGAAAACTAAGGCAATAAGTGGAGGAGCCAGACCAAGACCCAAGCACAGTGGCTGTATAGTATATGGAATAGTGCCACATGGATAAACACACTGGCCCCCACATGCCTATTAACAGACTTCAGCTATGATCTGTCTGTTGGCTCAAAGGACCTCAGTCAATGCCAGTTTTGCATATAGTCACAATAATTAGTTGACTCCATTTTTTTCCTGAGGTACTGAGAATGTTCTTTTTCATACAAATAACCTTCTGCACCCTCCACCACTCTAATTTCAATATCTTAGCTTAAATTAGCATTTCCTAAAATGTGTCCCATGGAGCCTAAATCTTGGGAAATATTAACAATCATTATAAACAAACAAAAAATCTCTGATTTTATAAAATTTAGGAAACACTGGGTAAAAAATGTTGTTGGAAAAAAGATTCTCAATGTGATCAACATACAAATGAATGGTACGAATCTTCATAAGGGAGATATGTTAAACCATGTAGTAAATAGTTTGGTACAAGGAGACAAAAGGCCCAATGAGCAGAATTTAAAGTTCTTGTGGGAGCTCAAGTTCTTGTGAAGCCTTGCTCCTAATCAGTCCCTTTGTGAATCTATCCATACAGCAAAAGTTTCAATGTTGATTATCTCAGTTGTTCTTAACATTTAAAGTGTAGACCAATTTAGAACAGAGCTGTACAATGGAGACAGGATTTTGAACAGTCTCAAAATAACACACAGGGGGAATTTAAGCATGGATTGACCAGCCAGCATTTGTTGACCTGACACTAGACACCATCCTAAAGTGGGTGAAGCAGTCTTTGTACACAGCCGGAAGCTATGCGGTCTAGACAGCGTCCCTCTCAGGCTTCTCTCTTTCCCTATTTCACTTTCTCTTATCTACTCTGCCTGTACCCAAAGGAAACATTAAGTTTATGCTTCCTTTTCTCTACCCTCATTTCAGTTTACCATCCAAGGAAAGACTTTAAAAAATCCTTAAATTACCTGTTTCTGAAATGCTACAATCAACATGCTTCCCATCTTCATTATTATTCACACTCTACCAAAATTTTTTTTATTAATCTATCTCATATAGATCAAACAAACTTTCCAGATTTATATGATTGTGGAACTCTGTGCACAACCCTTACTGATATTCCTCTAACTTACTCATCCAGAAAGCAGATACATTCTGGAAATGGTAACAGAAGCCAAGGAATGAAGCCAGGAATCCAGGCAGGGAAGAGAAGAGCTTTCACAGGAACTAGGGGATGACTCATGCCTTATCTCTCCCACCCAAGATACAGAGTTGCGTGAAACCCCACCTGCATCCACATAATGTGGTCAAGGAAAGGGAGACGTTTTGCAGTTTCCCAGCAAAATCATTACCAGTGTCATCAACTGCCTAACATAACTGTGTGTACAGATCATCCCATGTTGAAAATGGCAAAAAAAAAAATTGGGGGGAAATGGTGTGGGAGCTATCTAGAAACATACAAAAATAATTAACTTTCAATTTACTCAGTGGCAATTTGATATATTGGGAATATTTCTATGTATTCACCAGGCTAAGAATTAAGCTATTTTTTTGGCTCTACCTGTAGTTACCACTGTACTTCAGTTCATATTAACTTCATGTTCTTCCTCAGAAGTACTTGTTATATTTCTGATTTTCTTATTATCTAACCAGATATTAGGACAATGCCAACACTTAGAAACTTTCCAAAGGCCCTCAATCCTCCAGTTACTGTGCCCTGGGAATAAGAAGCTAGTTCCTGGCCTTGCATCGTAAGTGGGAAATGCAGCTCTTACAGATCAGCCAAATTTTCCCTATTGCTTTCCTGGAATCACTACGTCACTGTATTACAGTAATTCATAGCATTACATGATTTAAATTCTCCCAAACTACTAATCATTAAGATTTTTCACTGAAATATTGCCCCAGTGACTTTTATACAAACAAATCCAAGCAGCCAATGATGATTTACAATTCAATTTATTTTTCTATGCTATGGCAAATGGCAACTTGGGGAAGAAATGTATCTCATTTTCTCTAGAATATAAAATATTCCAAGTTGCAAAAATTAAAACTTAAAAAGGAAAGGTTAAAAATAATATGGAGAAAGTACATATAGACACCCAGTATGTGGCTTACTGAGGGCTCCAATAAAATCAAGAGCAGTTCTTATACAGGAATGAAATTTTCTTTTCTTAAAAGATTCTGCCTTTTTTTCCAGATGAGCACAAAAACAAAAAAAGAAAACAGCCAGCAAAAAAAAAAAAAAAACCCTTAAAATCAATGACGCAGTTGGGTCACTAAAATTCATGAATCTGAGCCGCACCTATGAAAATTTTATATCTTACTGATTAGAGAAAAGATCCAAAAATACATCTAAGCTGATCACTTCATTCAGTTAGCTCTGGATCAAAGATTTTAAAAGGCTTTTTGCTATTTTACACTTCAACGGGCCAAAGCTAATTGTTTCCACTGGAACTCTGGGGGAATATATTGGGGTCGGATCTTTTAAGACGTCTTAGCTCTGCAAATTAAGTAATTCTGTGATGGCTTTTCACTTCTCTCAATCTCAGCATGACTTAACCACTCTCAATCTCAATTTTCTTTTCTTTAAAGTGTAGATAATTATAGCACCTCTACATCAAGTTGCTGTGGCAATTAGATGAGATGATGTATAAAAGTGCTTATAAGAGTGCTTAACACACACCTACTCAATAAATGGCAGCTGTTACTAGCTTTTCTAATACTAGTTATAATTTAGAAGGCCCTACTAGTGGAATTTAAATTGAAATAATAACTCAGGGAATTACATCTCTCCAAAGCAAAGCACATTAAAGGTTTCATGAAAAACCAGTGGATTTACAATTTATTCAACAACAGCCCTGTTTGCTTTGAGTCGCTTAGAGCTTCCAGACAGCCAGGACCTGGTATCTCTGCAGAGTCAGGAGGCTGTACTGCAGCGTCCTGGAGCCCAGCTCTACCCTGGACATTTGTTAAAGGGCCTTAAATACAATCGACATCTCAATTGCAAAGTGTGTGTACCTGAGAAACATCACACATCTTGGAGGTGTTAAAACGCGACTGTGGGAGTTAGAAGTCTATGATAATTATACAGGCAGAAGCTTAGTTATGCAAGATACCTATTATCAGATGATAACATCTGTTAATAATGAAAGGGAAAATCAGCACAATATATAAAGCATAAGAGTGTTAGCAAATGCAGAAATCTCCCAAAGGAGTTTGCCATGCCATCAGAAAAAATTTGAAGTTCTTTCAATAAAAACATTGAGCATTTTTAAAATTACTTTAATCTATCGTTCAAGGATATGTTTATTAATTTTTAGAGAGATGGGAAGGAAGAGAGACAAACTTCAATACGAAATAGAAACATTGATCCGTTTCCTCCTGTAAGCACCCTGACTGGGGATTAAACCTGCAACCTAGGTGTGTGCCCTAACCAGAAGCAAACCCTCAACCTTTTGGTGTATGGGATGACAGCCCAACCAACCGAGACACCTGCCCAGGTCAAAATGTTGAGGACTTTTTAGGATAAACCTTTCTTAATCATCATAGCATATATGTCTACAGTTATCAGCACTTATTTTATCCTTATGTGATAGTGGATAGTTCAAGAGACTAATTTACAAAAATAACAGTGTTTATTTAAAACCTAAGGATAACTAATGCCTTTCTTAATCACTGTGTCACTGAACAACCAACAATCAGAAACACAAATTTCTATGAAATCATTAGCATGAAAATGAATACACAATTGTTCTTGAAGCTAGGAGGGTATATCTCATTGATATTAGTAAACTTTAAACTTCTTAATGAAATTTTGAGGACAATAACAAACATTTTGTGGAAGGTTTTTTATTTATATGATAAAATTATAACTCTGGAAGCTCAAAACTCATTATTTTTGTTATTTAAAATTGCTTTCAATGAATATACAAGCACAGCAATACACCTACATATACATAAGTCAAAGCAAGAGAACACTTACTGTCATTTCATTCATGCTCAGGAGTGTGGAGCTGGGCTGCAAGGTGCCAAGGCGGTGTCTGAAACCTTCTTCTAAAGTCATTCCCCAGAACTGACTGTAGTTCTGGGCAGTCCATCTGCCTTACAAATGAAAGCAAGAAATACATACAGACAGTGTAATAACACTTTCATAAATACATGTTCATTTATATTTTTGAAATTATACAGAAGCAAATCTCACAAAATGTAAACTATTACTACAAGGTAGGTATTTCTTATGTTGGTGGTGCATCATGATTAATGTGGCAGTGAAGCACATGAGACACTCTTCCCTGGTGAGGTCTATTTCAGTTACTTTCACGACTCCTTGAGGAAACTAAGACTATACCAACACACACTCAATTTAACAATATAAAATCTTTACAAACTGTAAAGTGATTTAGTATGCAGTTTTCTTTAAATGTCCTTAAATGCATTTTAGATAGAAGCTTGAATGTATAAAAACATACATATAGATTAAATAAGATAATGTTTCATTATCATTTGGATTTGAAAAGAACTCGACCACATGAAAAGTATCCATAAAAATTGAGAAAATAGGTATTCTTTAAAAGATATTATTTAATTTTATTAAAGTATTTTACTTAAATATTAAAATAATCTGTCATATTGAGTTAATTTGTGTTAAGTGCTCAATAACACTAGTTATTCATAATTAAAATTCACAACATAAATTCAATTGGTGTGAAAATAGATAAAAATGTGTATATTTTTCTAGAGACATATTTATTATGTTCCCTTACATAGAAAAATGAGGTTTCTTTTCAAATTCGAATACTGAAATTTGAAGGTAACGAAACTTCCTTAATATTAAGAGGCAAAAAATGAGAAAAATGAAAGTAATTTAATCATTGCTTGGTTGAATCAGCTACAAGTAGAGGACAATTTATTTTCAAAATCTAAATCTAAATTTTATTTTGTTATATTTATTACCAAATTGTTTATAATGTGGTAGGTTAGTATGACTGATTGAAAATGAAACTCAATTTTCAATATATGCTTTTACTAAAAAGTTAATGCCTTTTTTAAAGATCCGTTTGTTCATAAAATCTTAAGCAACTTCAAGCCACAATTTTAAAGCGCAATCTCTATCACCCAGGCAATTTCAATAAGAAACCCTCTGACTATATTAGGTTTTACAGCTTTATTTAGAAGACTAGCACAGCCCTGGGAAAAAATCATATCAGTAAAGTATGTTTTTGGTGCCCTATACTAGTAGTTTCTAAACATTCAGATTTGTTGATCATTTAATTAATCACTAATTTTAGTGATCAGGGGTCAATATTTTAAAAAAATAAAATAGAATATAAGAAAAATAATAGTAAGCATTTACGTTTACTGCACACAATGAAGGTAGGCACTGTTTATAAATAACCTGAAAAGGTTGTGTGTGTCGAGGTGTGTTCACACGTGTGTATGTGTGTGTGTACAAGGTCACAAAGTTAAATGTATGTTTTAATGTGACTAATGCTTAGAAAAAGTGTGAAAGACACTATTACTCTACACCATCCTCTTTTGACCTAGACTTAACCATTTCTTCTAATCCAATTCAGCATTTACTGAGCATTCTTAATTTATTTATCAGATTCTCTCATAAACATAGGGAACATTGAAGCAAATACATTTATTTACCCTTAAGGAGCTCATACCTAAAAAGACAGCAAAGATAAAAATGACTTTAGTATGTGTCATTTCCTAGCAGTAGGTGAAAATCAGATCAGAGTAGAGTATTTATAACATAACTCTGCCTGAGGGAGTTGGTACAGTTTTTCATAGAAAGTGACTTTAGTGCTCAGACTGGAAGGATGAAAATGAGTTTGGTGGCCAGATGTGAAAGAAGAGAGCATTTATTCTAAATAAAGGCAACTCTGGAGCAAAGTATGCAGGTTTGAAATTGGTAGAACATCTAGGGAACAGCAGATAAATTAAATGCTTAACTATGAGAGCAACTAGGGAGACAGAGTTTGGAAAAAGTAGAAAAGTTGAGTCAGTAAAGAAGCATTTGAGCTAGATGATTATTTGCACTAAGGACTATAATTCTATGTGATAAGCAATGGAGTTCCACTGAGAAATTTTAAGACCTCAAGCGACAAACACTTGTTGAAGAAGGAAAACCATGAAAGTGTAAAGGATGGGTTGGAGTTTGGTCAGCCTGGAAACAGAGATATGTCAGGTTATTTCAAAATAAGTTTCATAAAGAAATGCACTAGAATATAGCAAAGGAACAGACAAAATATTTAAAAGAAACGTGAGCATTACAAGAACTTAGTGACTGAGTGTGAGGATGAAAGAAGAATCAAACTAACTTCTGATTTTCTGGATTGGTTGACAAGGTGGAGGGGGATACAAGGAGAGATCAGAGGGTAATCCTTTCAGTTTGGGAAAGGATTTGGGATGCTGATTTTGAAAAACCAGTGAAAAAAATCCGGGCCAATTCATCCAACAGACTAGATTTTGAGTTCATAAGAAAAAACAAATTCAGATATGTAATATATTTAACATTGCCACAAAATTTCTGTAGCACTTTGCATCAATAGGTAGAACCTATTTCCCTAACATTTGACTATAGGCTGATCTAGTGACTTGTTTGTCTAGTAAAAAGCAGAATTGATTCTTGGCAAATTTCAAGCTTAGGCCTCAAGAGAGGCCCTTTGCAGCCTCCACTCATATCTTATTAGAGGCCTGCCATGTGAAGAAGCTAAGGCCAGCCTACTGGGCACACGTGGGCCACCGACAATCACCACCAACCACCAGACATGAAGGTGAGGCCACCTTAGACAACTCAGCCTCAGGCAAGGTTCCAGATGTCTGGAGGTACATGAGTGACCCCAGGAGGAATCAGCAAAGAGCCTCAGCTGAGTCCACCCAAATTGCTGATGTGAACAAAAGAAAAGCTTGTGGTTTTAAGCTGCTAAATTCTGGCGTATTTTTTATTTGTTTATTTGTTTGGTTGATTGTTGCAGCATCAGACAATTGGAACAGTTATCTATATCCTTTGTCCCACCAACATACTGATTTATTACTTGAGCCACTAATTTGGCTCTTATTCAATATATGCTGCCTTATCATTAGAAATCCTTCTATAAAGTATGACGTGTTGTTAATTCCTTTAAGATAAAAATTATTTATTTGAATCCTAAGCAGTGCCACAAAAGAAAGACATTTTGTAATTACTAATTGATTGCATTAAAATAATATAGGGAACAATATAGGAAAAATAATATAGGGATTAATATAGGAAATAATATAGGGAATAAGGGCTGAAGTAGGTTATGCAGAATGAATAATGACCAGGATCTAACAGACTCCTGAGATATGATAAATAAATTGTTTTACATCAAAGGTTATACATACATATGTAGGCTGTTTTTTAAAGCATTTAATCAATAATGAGTGATATATAATTCTGTTTTACACACGAAAACAGTTTGAACATAAGGAACAGAAAATATCTGAGAATTAGAACTTTCTTTTCAATTGAAGCACTTCCTTCTCTCCCCCCGCCCATAATTTAATTGAGTTTCACTCCTTTTCTTGATGCCTTGTGTCTTTTACTTAACTTTCTTTCCTTTGGTCCATTACACTCCTTTTGGCTCCAATTACACTTCACTTTTTATTCTTTTAAAGTCGTCTAAGTTTGCAACTAAAAGGCAAAGTCCAGGCCACTTCAATAGTCCTAGAGTACTCTGTCAATAAATAGATGATGAAAAGAAAATTCTTCCTTCCAAAGAAGGCAGCATTCCCAACAGCTTTTGTGCTGTTACACGTACTTTCTTCCCACACTGCTTTAGACTGTGGTTCTTCATGAGTCTGCTGAAAAGTAGGATAATTATGGCTTCTTGGAAGTGTGTGCTTAAGGGAAACTGATTCCAATCATGTCTCAGGATGACACATACTCATGTTCTTTTAATAATCTGAGTAACACTTAGCCACAGAAAATTATAATGAGCCTCCCCTAGAAATACTTAAAATATATTACCACCTAAAGTATTATTCAAACACATGTATACACACACATACACAGAGCAATTGAGATGGTTTAAGATTATTGATGTCAACAAATGTAACTTTTCATATTTTGTGTCTCCCAAGAAAGTATTTTGGGTACATTGAAATAATGGCTTTGTTCTGCTGGGAAACATATATTTTATGTGTAGAAGGGAATGATGTTTCTAATTTTTAAAAATACATTTTGATCCTAGCTGAGTAACTCAGAGCATTCTCCCAGTCAGGGCACATACAAAAAGCAACTAATGAAAGCACAAAGTAGAACAACAAAATGATGCTTCTCTCTCTCTAAAAATCAATGAATAAAAATTTTAAAAAGTATATTTTAGGGTCACTTCACTTTTACGGTTGCTTGACAATAAATTGTCTTATATGAAATCATATCCCAAAATGTGTAAAATGTTATCAGGGGATATAGAGTTTTGATCAATGGCAGTGGAGAAATTCTGAGAGAGACACCAACCAGCCTATCCCTCTTTCTTTCAATGCACTAAAAAATACCAATGTAAGCACCTACATCTTAATTTTTTTCTTTGTAAGCAGAGAAGCTACCTAGTTTCTTAATCTTTCAAACAGCATCAGTTATTTCCTATGTTGAGTGTCAATCAGCCCTATCTTTAGTTTATTAGCAAAGGAAAATGGTTCAAGCAATCTTTTGACTTGAACAATTGTAAGTGACTCAATTGTAAGTGAAATTGACTAGGTATCAGCCTCTCAGTGAAATTGTCTAGATGGGTTGGTTATTTGGGGCAACATCAAGATACAATATTGCCCCCATAGGCTAGACTATACCCAGGATAGCTGAACATGTGAGTGGCAGGAATATATCAATTATGCCTACCTTCTGATTTTGCCTGAACACTTACCCAGACTAAAACTTTCCGTACACCCCTTGCTCACACCACAACACTGCTCCTTTCTAGGCAATTTAAGACCATGGTCTGTGCTTCATCTTTGTGCATTTTAATTACTTAATATTCACCTCTGTGCATCCCAATTTTACATGCCTTTCTACCTACCTTCCTATTTCTTTCTCACTCTTTCTTTTCAAACAATGACTATTTTTAGAAGTAAATAATAGGAAATACATTGTTTGAAATCTGAGGAGTAACTGGGAGTGTCAAAAAGCTTGTAAAGCAAGATTTCACTCACCCATAATCTCCTTTATTGACATGTTCAATTAATTCTGGTTCAACAAGACATACATGCTGAGAACATTTCCATTGCTGTCCTGAACATGTGCTAAAAAAAATATAAAAAATTACAAAAGTGGCCTGGCCTTAATGGAGCACATTTTAAAAATTAGTAACTAGAGCACATTGCTAAGGCATAAAACATACTTGGATACACGTTAGCCATATGCCTATTTCATTTCTGGCAAAAAAAAGAAAAGTATAGCACATGCATGAGCTCCCACTCAATAGGCTCTTACCTTGCACTCCAGGAAATTAATATATAAAGTGACCACACATTCCCTGAAGCATAAAAACACATGTCAATTTAAACAATATATTCAATGTATTTGTGATTGGAAACTTTCTACAGGATAATCCTGTTAAGGCAGGCTGTTTTTATATATAGTTACTGTGTTCATAGTATATCAGAAGGTTTATAATTAAGAGGTTTATTTAGTGCAGGCCTGTTGTCTGATGAACATCAAGTTCAAGCAATAAAAAAATATATTCATGAGCCCTGGCTGGGTGGCTGAGTCAGTTGGAACATCATCCTGTACACCAAAAGGTTGCAGGTCTGGGTAGGAGCATGTACAGGAAACAATGTTTCTCTCTCATCTCTCTCTTTCCTCTCTCTCTAAAATCAGTTACATACATATGTATGTATATATAGATATGATTAGCTTTTTAACATTCATTAAAATTAAATATGCTTATGCAAACTATAGGTATATGATATATTATGACTTATGATTCTGTCTCTATTTAAATATATGCTTCCTTGCACAGATGTTTCTTTTATTTGAAGAAAACCCATAAGAACTGTAGGATTCTGTTCAGTACCACTAAATTCCTTACCATCAAGATGGCGGTGTAGGTAGACATGGCTCAACTCTTTGCACAACCAAAACAAAATTACAACTAAGATAGAGAACAACCATTGCTCAGAACTGACAGAAATAGAGTTGAATGGAAGTCTGACAACTATGGAATTAAAGAAACCATGTCCATCCAGACTGGCAGAAGGGATGAAGACACAGAATGGGCTGCTCCCACACTCGCATGTGGTAGATAAAAATTCAGGAGGGATATCTCGAGACCCAGGAGTCCTAGCCCCACACCAGGCCCCCCAGCCCAGGAAGTGCCAGGAAGATTAGTCCCCACAACTTCTGGCTGCAAAAATCAGTGGGGACTGAGTCAGTGGAAGAAACTTCTGGAGCTCCGAGTAGTTCCTCTTAAAGAACCCACACTCCCACTGACCTTCTCAGACTCATTCCCTCCGCCCTTTGGCACAGGAGTGGCAGCTTGAGGAACACCAGTGGCATACCGGAAGAAGCTAAAGTGTCTGGCATCTGGGTGAGCAGAGGTCATTGTCCCTTTTCTGGGTCCTCTCCTCAGAGAGCTGGCAGACTGGTGCTGTATCTAAGATTCCATCAACCTGGCTAACACTGTTTGACCTGCCTTAGCAATAGATTCCCAGAGACTCTGCCCCTCCCAACTTATGGGCCCACTGAAGCTGCTTGTTCATATGAATGGTTTTGGCTGGTGCTTCACAACTTCCTAAATCCTCTCTAACAAGCAGCAGCTGGCCTCACTGAGGCTTGGGACAGGAACTAGCAGCCTAGTTTCACAGTTTGGCTTCTCCTGGAAATCTCCAAGCCCAGCCCAAGTAGCAGCCATCTCAGACTGCTTTATAGTTCAGACAGGGCGGACCCCAGGGTTGACACACCAGGCAAAACCCTGGTGGGGGCTAACCTTGCCCTGCACCACCAGAGAAGTCCCAGAGCCATTGCACTAAGTGGACAGCTACAGACCATGTCCAAGCACCACCACCCTGCCCCTGCACAGCTGCCCCTCCATGGAAGGTGGAGGTTGAGTGTAAGTGGTCACAGCTAATCCTTGAAGCTAACTGGCCTGGGTAAATCCCTCTCATTGATCTACAAACAGCAATCAAGGTTCAACTATAAAAGGAGAGTGTACTCAGCCCACACAAAGGGCCCACCCAGCTTAGAAGTACCCAGCGTGGATGGTAGGGGAGACTGTGCCACTGGACCCTACAGGACCCTACTACATCAGGCGACACTACCAAGGCACACAGAGTCAAATCACCTCTACCTAAAACATAGAAACAAACATAGGAAGGCTGTCGCCAAAATGAGGAGACTAAGAAACATGGCCCAAATGAAAGGACAGATCAAAACTCCAGATAAAGAGCTAAACAAAATGCAGATAAGCAATCTATCACATGCAGAATTCAAAACTGGTTATAAGGATGCTCAAGGGACTCAGGGAGGACTTTAACAGCATAAATAGATCCAGGCAGAAACAAAGGAGACACTAATTGAAATAACAAACAATCTACAGGGAAACAACAGTAGAGAAGATGAAGCTGAGAGTCAAATCAATGATTTGGAACATAAGGAAGCAAAAAAAACAACCAATCAGAACAATGAGAAGAAAAGAGAATCCAAAATAATGAGGATAGTATAAGCAGCCTGTGGGACAACCTTAAGCAATCCAACATATGCTTCATAGGGGTGCCAGAAGAAGAAAAAGAACAAACATTGGAGATGTATTTGAAAACATAATGAGAGGAAATTGCCATTATTTGGTGAAGGAAGTAGACATGCAACTCTAGGAAGCACAGAGAGGCCCAAATAAAATGGACACAAAGTGGCACACCCTAAGACACATCATAATTAAAATCCCAAAATTAAAAAATAAAGAGATGGGAGGGTGGGTGTGGGAGAGGGGGTGAGAGGTGAGGGGATTAAGAATTACAAATCAGTAGTTACAGAATAGCCATGGGGATATAAAGTACAGTACAGGTAAAGAAGTAGCCAAAGAACTTATATGCATGACCCATGAACATGAGCAAGGGTGGGGGGATTGCCTGAGGGAGTGGTGGGTGCTGGGTGGAGGGGGAGAAAGGGGGAAAAGTCAGGACAACTGTAACAGCATAATCAATAAAATACAATTAAAAATAAATGAATACAAAATTTAAAAATGTATTACCAGGAGTTACAGTTTTCTTTAATTGCTGATCCTTCTTCATAATGTTGACCCTCTCTGAGGCAACCTGCCAATATAACATGTAAACAAATGAAAATTCTAAATTGATCAATAAAGTTCATTAACACAAGGAGTAATCTAAAATTGTGCTTAGTTTTTCAATTATGCAAAAATATATGATGCCAATTTGATGGAAGTTCACATATGGTTTGTGTCTACGTTTATGTATCAAATTTTTCTGGGCTTATTTAATGAGCTTTTATCTAAAAAACTCTGTATTAGATTCCAACAGAGAGGATTTGTGAAGTATGAAAACTAGATTACTAAGAAATTACCACTAACCACACTCAAAAAAATAACTATGTTTTAATAGTTAAGCAAAGTTTACATAAACTTACATCATTTTTCAATTTTAAAAAACTAATAAAGTATCATAAGTGAACATGATTAATTGCATATGACTACACAAAATATAAAACCATTCCATTGAATTCTATTTTTCTTCAGGATTTGGATCAGGAGAAAATTCATGTGATCAATAATATTGCTTCTATTTGTGTTCCAAATCTAATTTTTTCAACTATTAACCCTAACCCTAACCCTAAACATGGTGAATTATCACCATATAAAAACCATCAGTAAGATACTGTGAAATGGTATTCTGGTTATATATTAAATCCTTTTTGAGAAAATAATTTATACAAATTTAAAAATCATGCTCAATTAGCAAAGTAGCAAAACCCACTACTTTGTCAAGTAAAAGCTTTTTTGACAGAAAGATGTAATTAATAGATCACATCAATGAACTTTAATTAAACAAAATGAATTCCAACTTTTTAGTTATTCAATCTTAGGGAAAAATCAACACATTTAGAAAATGTTCTAAGGGATGTGGTATAACTAAACCTTAGATAAAGGGAACAGAAATCATAAAGTCCTAAGGGAAAACAACTGTTCCTTCCCTGACCCCTATCAAATCTAAAATAAAACCAAGTATTTTACAGTGACCTCTGAGGCCTTACCCAACATGCCTCTGCTCACATTGCTCCTGTGGTGCTGGCTGGGGTGGGGTTCCCAGAACCTGAAGGATTTGCACAAAAGTAGGATGGACAGAAGTAACTGGGCATACTTGGGAGGTAAAGCAATGAATGGGACATGGATTTAGTTTGGGAAACGAAGAAATAGAGGTATCAAGGATGCCTCACTAGAAGTTTTACTTTAGCAATACAAGGACAGTGAATCTGTTACTGAAATAAGAAACAGGCTTGTGACAAGAAATCGAGAGTTCTTCTTTGCCTGTTTTAGGTTAGAAATGCTATTGGAGGATAAAAATCCAGAGTTAAGACTGAAGCATGAGTTTAAGAGACAGCAACATACATATTTTTAAAGCCTTAAGATGAAATAAGAGTCCATTTGAAAGGTTGTATATAGTCAAGAGAAAGAGATGCAGAACCAAGTTTAAAACACTCCAGCCAACAGACATTCAGAAGAGGAAACTGGGAAGGAATGGCCTGAGAGGAAGCAGCAAGTTCAGGAGAGGGCAGAATCTTGGGAAGCAACAGAACGAAGGATTTCATACAAGCAAAAGTCGTCAACCACGGAGAGTAGTTCATGGAGGCAAAAAAAAGAGAGAGAGAAACACCAGTCATCTGAATATTGCATTTAGTAATGTGAAAGTGGTTAATAACCCCACCGAGAGAGATTTCGCTGAGTAGCAGGAAACGACATCTTGTAGGATATGTTGGTAAGAGACTTAGTCGTCAGGAAGCAAAATGTTTCAGCTATTTTGCCATTAAAGGAAAGAAGGAAATGGGATAGGAACTGTTCAGGACATGGAATCAAAGGAGCTTTTTCAAAGTTGGGAGCTACAAATACATATTTTGTAAATTAATAGTTGATCAGGAAGGATGGGGAACAAATGATGCTTTGGGAGAAAAAAAAGGACAGGAAGGATAGTGAAAAAGAGGGGGAAGAGGGGTAGAGATCATTGTAAAGGTAACGATCTTGAAAACACTAGAGTTTGAGATTCAAAGGTCAAGAGGAGGAACTGACTCAAGGTAAGCAGTAACCCAAATAAAAGTATGTGAAAAATTATGATGGCAGAGAGATAAAACAATTCCTGGTGGCTTTATATTCGCAGTTGAAATAGTTATGAAGCACCTCAGAGTGTATTAATTGATGGTTACATGTATATCTCAAAAATAACAACAAAAAAAGGTAATGACTATCGAAATTAATGGAGTTTTGCAACTTTAACAACCACTACTACAAAATATTTGGAGAGTGAAACAGTTGGTCTACTGTTTGTGAGACGTGAGAAAAGATAAGATGCTTGTAATTTATTTAAAAATACTTTAGCATAATGTGTTATAACATCTGTGCTGGTCTAAACTTCACTTTAGGGAAGGCAGTTACTTGCTTTAATCAGGATTCCTACATCTCAGCAGTGATCACTCAGAAAGGTCAGATTCCAGGGCAATTGCTACAAGTGCCTCTATTATCCATCTTTTGATGAATACTAGACTGTGAGTATAATGAGTTCCAGAAATGGGCTTCCGTTGCTAAAACTAGTGGCTTGTTCATCAGCATAGTGGATGTAAATACTTAGCTCTTATTGGTTAAATTTATAGTATTTAATTAATGTAGATTAGATAAAATAGTTTGTTACATTCTACTCTAGTATCTCAGTTTATATGTATCTCTAAGGTACAAAGCTGTTACTCATATACCTGGTGCCCTAGAATTGATCTCTGAAAGGTCCTGTGCCCAGCCGCTGGTAGGAGAATTTCTCATTCCCTGGTACCCACTGTAATGATAAAAAAGTCCTGCCTTTGTAATATTATCACATGTCCCTCCAATACATTTTTCATGTAAAGCAGATGAATGAAGCTTCCAGAGCTTGTATGAATTTGCTAATGTCTCCTTAGCAATATATGTTTTTGTAACTATCAGTATTTATGGCAGAGTTGGAGTGTGACTTATTTTCATTATAATGCAGTTAAAAAGCTTGTGAAGGAGTAAATAACCCTTATACAATTCAAATGTGTCAGTGGCTTACATATTTTTTTATCAGTGTGAATGTGAGTTGTGCATAATCAAATTAGCTTCAGTCTATTCACAGCAGATGGTATACTAGACTCTTAAGATCTGCTACACCCAAAGATTCTGTCTGGGAAATCCTCTCTGGTTCTATTTCAAACTCTATCACTTGTTTTCTGTACTTGACATTTGAAATCCTCCACTTATCGAAAGTTACCATCAGAGATGAGGGAAAAAACAAAAGGAAGATATTTGGCAATGTGCTCTACTTCCAGTTTATACAAAAGGGATGTGATGTTTTTAATTCTCAAAACAATGTACATAGTTTTAATTCACTGGTTTAAAGAAGCTCCTAAGAGAGTTGCAGTACAAAGAACTAGGCAATATCATGTATAAGATAACTGAAAATATTATTTAATAGATCAGCAGATTAACACATCTCAGAGGAAACTGGCTGCATACATGCAAAAAATGCAAGTAATATACCATTGTTTTTTATGTTAGCTAATTTTGCAAAATTTTTCAATATTGTATAGGAGTATCTCCTTTCAATCAGCTCTTCTGTAAGCAAGATAAAACAAAAGAAAAAAATTACCTTCATGAGAGCAATTATAGTCTAATGTGAACTTTTTGCTACTGAATAAAAAATGATTAATTGCTTCCCCCCATAATGAATTACATAAAAACTACAACATAAATTCTGCCTAAAACGTGATCCTAAATTAAAGTCTTAGCAAAGTTCTAGCCCTCAAGCAAAAATGAACATTGAAAAAGTAGTAATTACTTTCTAAAGAGGCTATATGTCTCAAAAAAAAAAAGCTCAAATACATTTTAGCACATGCAAAGCACTGCGGCTTATACATAATATTAAGACTTCACACCCATGAAGCCAAACCTTTTTTACCTAACATCTTTCCATGGGTTCTCATAACAGAATTCTCAAATCCTTAATATGGCCTAGAAATCCTGTCATAACCTGGCCTCTGTTCACCTCTCCAACCCCATCTCACAGTACCCACAGCCTCCAACAACCATTACTACCCAGAAAGGGTGGTGTATCCTTTCAGCTCCTGGCCCGGGCTCCGCAGGCTCAGCTCTGACGCAGCCCTTGGACCTTCAGGTCAGATCCCTTCTCCTCCTTCTCAGAGTCTCAGTTTAAATGTCCTCATTTGCTGCCCTCCCCTATAGGCTAAATGTATATTTTATTTTATACTCTATTTTATATTTGAAGTTACTCATTTATTCAAGATTTTAAAAAAGCATTCAATGTAATATTTATTAATAAAAGAATATTAGCAAACATTCTCAAAACAGACCTGTTTGCATTAATGTATATATTACTTTATACATTAATGGTATATTCTGATATACTTTCTCACAGCAACTTAAGTGCTTCCTTTAGAGAAGTTATCCCTTTTTGAAGTTGTATAGTGAATTTGTTAAATATCCAACACACACATCCCCCACCTTGACTATCACTTCAATGAGAATAAGATCTTGCCTTGTTTCTCACCCATGGTTGCCTCAGAACTAAGCATTATACCTAGCATAGTGGAGACATTCAATGAGTATTTTTTTAATTTTATTTATTTATTTTTAGACAGAGGGGAAGGTAGGGAAAAAGAGAGGGAGAGAAACATCAATGTGTGGTTGCCTCTCACACACCCCCTACTGGGAGCCTGGCCTGCAACCAAGGCATGTGCCCTGGACTGGGAATTGAACCTGTGACCCCTTGGTTCTCAGGCCAGTGCTCAACCCACTGAGCCACATCAGCCATTTTTATGTACATCTAAATCTCTCATTCCTAATAGAGTACCTGTCAGTTTTTAGGGTTAAATAAATGTTTGCTGAGCTGTTTATCGATAAAGGCAAAGGCTTGAGATAAATGACAATTCTATGGAAATTTTAACATTCTGTGTTTTAAGAAGTGTTTCCTCAGTTTTTAGAAATTAGATGACATTGAAAATGAAGGCAACAGCATCTAGATTTTGAAACAAGACCTTGATTTGGAAGAATACAAAATTCTAGTTTACACTAAATTTTGTCCTAACTGTAATTTCTAGTCAGTACACCCATTTACTGTGGTATGACAAAGCTCTAATTAAACCACGTTCCTGCTCAGGGGATTTGATCTGATGGTTGACAGAGAAATCAGGCCTCATATGACCGCAACAACAGAGTTTCGTGTTTGTTGCAAACCTTGAGTATGTTGATAATTCAAAATTGATAGTCATTCTCTTGTAATAATTGCAATATAATAAATATCATTCTCTTTATGACTTATTTGTATTTATCTACTCAATTTTAGACTTTCACAATTACTTTATAGAAGGCCTCCTTTCTTTCTAATTGTTTAAAAAAATCTCAGCTTGGCAAAACAAAACAAAACAAAAATACAAATGAAGAATCTGTTTGCTATTAGGCAGGGTGGGTGGCTGACTTTACTACTTTACTTGGCATCTGTACTGGTTTTAGTGGCTTTGCAAAACCATAGATTCTAATGCTAGGAGGTCCGTTAATCCCATAAAATAGGAAGTAAAATATTGCATGAATCTGCAGATGATCATGTGACTTTCATGAGATTCTCTAAGAGGTTACACTCAAGAACACTTGAGAGTACTGTCGTCGATACATTTTTACAAAGAAAGAAAAAAGTTTCCAGTAACTTTTATATAAATTAACTGTACTTCAAAAGAGGATTCACAGCAGCATTCATGACTGTCACACTAGAACTTTCCTGACTGTGCTAGTATGATTCACATACCTTCATCTGAGCCAAAACACTCTAACAACCCAAAGGCATTCATTCTGGTGATCCCAATATTCATTTTTTCTTAAAGAAGGATGGAAGGAAAGGAGGGAGGGAGGGAGGGAGGGAGGGAGGGAGGGAGGGAGGGAGGGAGGGAGGGAGGGAGGGAGGAGGAAGGAAGGGAGAAAAGGGAAAATCTGTCAGATCTTCTTATGAACTAGTACAACATAATGCTGAAACACATTCCCAAAGCCTACCTGCTGGATACCAAGGCTTTGTGTAAGGAGGCCATTCTTTCTCTTCACGGCAAAAAGACTGGTAATCAGGACAGCAATCAGAATTCTCCCTTTCACAGAATTTATCACAGTAACACAGTGCATTCACCTCATAGAAATGAGTGACACAGCCATCATCTCTGTCTTCACAGCACCCAAAACTTCTACAGTATTGCCCTTTGAAAATGGCTCTTTTGAATCGAGTACCTTCCAAAATGCTGTGATTGCTAGTGAAATCGGCTCCGGGGTCCACTTCTCTTTGAGATACATACTGTTTCTCCATCCAAATTTCTGTAATAAGATAAGAGAAGATGAGGATTTTATATCCAGGCCACATTCTCTACAGGTCACGTACAGCTTCCACTCTCTGTTATATCCAATAAAGAATTCCTCAGGGTTTTTCTTCGGAGCCTGAATTCTAATCTCCAAGACAACTCAGCTGGAATCCTGATACTGGTCCTTTTCTTGAACTGAGTATACTTCATGTAGTTAAACATTAATCAAGATTTAAATGTTTGCCCAAGATAGTGCAAGTGTTAGAAGCAGACTGTTGTAATTCCTTTGAAGTCAGCAATTTATAACATTTCATATTAGGTAAAAAATGTTCATCACCATAAAATAAAAACATAGATGATACATTGAATGTTGCTTGTCTCCCCCCAAACCTAGATTTTTAATAAAAAACCTGTCTAGAATATTCATGGCCAAAATTATGGCTGCAATAACCACTGTCAAGGTACAGGAAATTCAAAAGTCAAAAACACAATTATTCATTTCACCTACTTGCCTTGCAACAGAAATGCAGGCTCTCCTGAGGCCGCCTGCTAGGATCTGTCATATCAATAATAGTTGTTGTAAATCATGCCCAGTCACACACTGGTTTGACTTCCCATCTGTACTCTGTTTACCTAATAGGAAGCATTTTGATTTCAAGGCTTAGTGGAACCTAATTCAACCAGAAATTCCCTGAGGATGATAGTTCTCTCCACCTGAGTCCCTGCTTGGCGTCAACAGATGAACCTGCAGGAATTGGAAGGCAGTATGTAGTTAAGAAAAGTGTGTACTCTGCACTGAAGCACTTCAGGGGGAGGGAGTTGTGAAGGAAACTCAAAGGTCGAGATGCCCTTAGTGCTTCTGTGGAGCTGTGCATTTACACTGGGTTTTGCTACCCTGTATTTATTCATTAACTACAATAACTCCCTTTGCATTGGGGATTAGTAACCAACAGATGATGATTCAGCAAGAGTGGGTGGATGGCCTAGTGGAAAGAGCTTGTCTTGACAATCAGAACACTTGGACTCTTGTCCCCATACTACTATTTAATTGACTTTAAAACCTGGGTTGACAGCTTGCTTCTCTGGTCTTCACTTATTTTTCTATAAAACCAGGGTCTTCCCCTTCAAGGCTAATTCATAATTCCAACCCTTCAAACTTATTCATTGACTTTGCTCCATAAATTATTGGATTCACAATGCTATCTTCATTGTTGCACTTTCTTCTGGCACCTTCTTTTTTCTTTTTTTGTTTAATTTTACATCATCTTGGTATCACTCTCCATAATCCCCCATCTCTCCAATCCAAAAACTACTGCCTCCACTTCCTTGTCATGCACTGAGTCACTCAGCTAACTGTAAAGTGCAGTCTACATTCTCACGTACGTTCCCCAGTGACCTCCTAACATCCAATTTCCACAGACCTGTGTCCACCTTTATCATACAGGATGGATCTCATGTAGCACTTAGCCTGAGTTCAAATTCTAGTTTTACCACTGACCAGCAGCATGTCTTTGGGACAGTGGCCCAGCCACTGTAGACCTCAGTTTTCTCATCTACAAAATTTGGATAATAATATTTATTACCATGTCAAGTGAATGGAAAATTTAACTGAAATAATACAAATAGAAAGTGTAGCAAATCCCACATGCAAAATAAATTAGTTATTTATTAAGTATACTCTTTAGTAAGTATACTCTCCCTCTAGGAAACTCTTTCCTCCTTTGCCTGCTGTGTTTTCATTCATTCTTGATTTTCTTCCCCTTCTTGATAAGGCTCCTAATTGGCTTATTTTGGGACTCATTTTCTTTTCTTCTCAGTGGTCATTTATAATATTTTTTCACAAACATTCTCATTTTGTTTCTTCCTTACTCCTCCCACCTTATCTTTCCTCAAAACTCCTAGCCTGTTTTAGGATTCTTAGGATATAATCCTAGCAGTGGAATTGGGTCAAAAGGCAGGTCGATTTTTATTTTTCTGAGAAAATTCCATACTGTTTTCCATAATGGTTGTACCAGTCTGCAATCCCACCAACAGTGAACTAAGGACCCCTTTTCCCCACAACCTCTCCAACATTTGTTGAAGCTAAACAACAAAACAAACAAGCAAGCAGAAAAAAAAAACAAAACAAAGACACTGAAATAGAGAACAAGGGGACAATGACCAGAGGGGAGAGGGAAGGGAAGTTAAGGGGAAAAGCGGGGAGGGATTTGGAGGAACAAATAGGAAGGACACAAGGATGAGAACTAAGGGGGGTGGAAATGGTGGGGAGCAAGGGGCAGGGAGGCTGGGATGAGAGAAATAGACAAAAAAACTGTACTTGAAAAATAACTAAATAAAATTTAAAAAAAATAAACTTGAAAAAAAAAAAAAACTCCTAGCCTGAATCATCCTAGAAGCCGTAAGTCAGGAGACCTTATAAAAGGTGGACCTCCAACATTGTTATTTCCCGGACCTCAGTTTAAACCCCTTTAAGTCTTGCTCACATTGCCACTAGCTTCCTTGCTGCTCCTCCACATGCCAGGACCCCACCTGTCTACCTATACACTTGCTGCGCCCTCTGCCTGGAGCACACATCCCAGATATTTCCATGACTCACTATCTCACTCTTTCAGGTATTCTTTTAAACCAGGGGCCCCCAGTCCCCAGCCACTGACTGATACATGTCCCACAGCCTGTAAAGAACTGGGCCACAAGTGAAGCTCACCTGAACTCTGCCTCCTGTACCCCCTCCACCATCCATCACACCGCATTCACAGCAGGGGAGTGAGGCTCACCTGAGCTCCGCCTCCTGCCCCACTCCCATGATACTGATCTGTGGTGCCAAAAAGATTGGGGACCACTGTTTTAATCTACATCTTCTCAGAGAGGCCATGCCTACATTCCCTATCTAAAATGACACCCCTCCCCAGCTCTAACAGTCCCCTGCCCACATTCTCTGTGCTTATGACTAATATGTAATCATTTTATTCATTAATTTTATTTTTTTATTTTTTCTCCAAAATTTAAAACCTCCAAAATCATAGAATTTTGTCTATTTGTGATTTGTGTGTTTTCCTACAGCACTCAGTGCCTAACACATATTTGTCCTTCAGTAAATATTTATTCAATCAGTGAATGAATTTACAATTTGCGTTTTTGGCCCCTGTACCAAAGGAGTGTTGGAGGCCATCCATCAGCCCATGGTACTGGTGCCACCACACATTTTTGCATTTTTATCTCAGCTAAGCTCTCAAAGGCTGCTTACATATTTTTTAACTTGTCTCCAATTTTCCTTACTGACTGTTACAAACTTTGCTTTCTTAACTTACTAAAGATCATCATTGTCTAGGGATGACCTTCTCTCAGAGGTCACCAAGAACACAAAGAAGCAAATGTTAATCCCCACACCTTCCTGTCATCAAATCCACAAACCTATCTACATTTGTAGCCATCCCTCCATCCTCCTTCCACGCCCAGAAGATGAGGTGTCCTCCTGTTCTCAGGCAATTCTTCCACCTATGATTTTTGGTCTGTGACCTTTTATCCTATTCCTTCACTTGTCTCTTGGTTTCTATCCATCTTCAAACTCTCTCTTACCCAATCCCTTCAGTCCTTACCATTTTAGAGCAAAGCTAGTTGCAATTCCAACTTCATGAGCTGTTGACCAGGGCCCGCTCCTCCCCATACCCTACTACCTAACAAGCCTGAAGTGTTGAAGAACTAACACCCTTCCTGTTACCCAGAAGCAGCCATTACAGGATGCCTACAGGCACTGGTACCCGTGGATGCGTTTTCTCTGATATCTACACAGTGGCCCTCATCCTGAGGTGAGAGTGTGAGTTCCATATGCAGAGGAATTGCCAGGGGTGCACTGACTTATTTGTTTATGGCACACAAGTAAATACTGCAATTTATCACTGTCTGGTTTTATTTACTGATCATAACATCTCATTTTAACTAATGCACCTTCTCTAAATTGACAAACGCTTTCAAATATCCCTCCTTGTCAAGGAACTTCACATTAAAAGTGACATATTGATACAAATGTTACTACTGGTATGTTTTTTGGACCAGTGCTTTTCAGCAGGGGTGACTTTGCCTCCCAGGAAAAGTTTAGCAATGTCTGGAGACAATTTTTATGTCCCGACTGTACAGGTGCCACAGCATCTAGTAGACAGAGGCTAAGGATGCTGCTTAACATCCCAGAATGCACTGCTCAGAACCCACAACAAAGAATTCTCTGCCCAAAAGTATTAATGACACTGATGACAAGCCCTGTTTTACACATATGGTAACAAATTTTGAACTAACAAGAAATCAGAAACAAATGAAAATAGCATGTCTACTTGCAAATGGATTTAAATAAAGGTTGATCAGATGAACTTCCACTAACTAGTAGCTTTGAAACATTATAATGATAATAGGACGTACAAACGGATGGTGCTTTTAAAAAAAAATTGGGTATGTTGCCCTGGCTGGTGTGGCTCAGTGGATTGAGCATCTGTCTGCAAACCAAAAGGTCACCAGTTTGATTCTCAGTCAGGGCATGTGCCCGGGTTGCAGGCCCGGTCCCCAGCTGGGGCTTTGTGAGAACAACTGATTGATACAGCTCTCGCACATCAATGTTTCTCTCCTCTCTTTTTCTCCCTCCCTTCCCCTCTCTTTAAAAAAATAAATATTTTTTAAAACCAAATTTGGGTGTGGTGTATGTATGATTGCCACACCCTCTTCCAGCTCGATGATTTTCCTGGGATGAGGTACATCCCAGATGAGAAGAAAAGTTCCCTCTTCTTGTGTTTTCTACAAGCTCCATCACACAGAAGACAGTGGAGGCAGTCCTCGGCCTCCTGGGTTTTTTGGAGGAAGAGTGAAGTCAATCAAATAACTTCCTTAACACAATATCTTAGCTAGATACTACGAAAATTACTGCATACTGGAAAATTTAATTGTGCTTAAAATTGGACGTTTAAATAGGCAAAATATAAAATTGAAAAGGGGAGAGACAGAAAGACATAACAGAAAGGTGAGCTTACTAAACACAATTTATTTTGTTGTGTTCAATTCTATCATTAGAGATTTATTCCCCTGAATTATAGAGTGTGTAAAAGTGTCCTACTGTAGTAAGTACTCTTTGATGAAGTAACTTAAGTAATACTAACTCACCTTTCAGGGGTCAGGGCTTGAT